GTCCATCCTCTCCATTTAAAATGATTAGGTTGTTTTTTTCATCACTATTACATAATTCAAACTTCCCTTTTTAGTCTCCACATAATTATTGTCTTCTAAACTACACCTGACATTAAGTATAACATTTTCTAGAACATAGTTACCAATAGCTGACTGGTTTTATGATTTCTTTGATGAATATAAATACGATTGTACAGACGTTGAAGGTGATTCGTTGAGAAAATATTTTCCTTTTTGGGTTTTCTACTGTGTATAACTCAATATTGAAATTTTCCACTCATTATTCCTTCTACTCATAAAGTTCGAAACAGTTTAGAGAACGAAGCTTATGTAAAATTGTGATGTACATTTTTTTTTGATTACAGCTTGATTCCACACCGTATTTTTGGTATAGGTATGGAATTTTCAGCATGTGATATCGGTAGCCCAAATTTTGCAGGCCGACCATATATATCAGGTGTGCATCGGCAGGTGATCGAACCCCGGACCATGTGCATGGTCGGCGAGGGTCCTAACCACTGCATCAGACATAATCTGATCACTCACTTACACAGCATTTCAAATGGCGCGAAACATTGTAGAAAATGAAGGCCAATTAAAACAAAAATATAACAGGGAATTTAAGAGTAAAGACAATAATAACTGACACTATTCTTGACAGTGTGATAATCCATACTATCAGAAATAGCTAGTCATAAAATGAAGCGCTCCTTGTGTGTGTGTGTAAATCTGTCCATTGTTGTATTTATCCTACATTGGTAGTTCTTATCTGATTACGTTACCAAGAGTAACACCAAATGTCGTCTTTTTAACCGCTAGATTTGTTTACGTTACATCCCATACTACATGTGTATGTGTTCACACACACATAAGGAGGAGTATCTGAGCTATGGGAAATGAAAGTGATGGAATACATAACTAAAACGACTTCAAAATCAAATAAACTGAAGAACGTTCAGCGAGTTGTCTTAGCAACATGATAAATAATCCCAAAGATGTGTCACTAGAATTTTTAAATTTTAGATAACAAACTACGTAATATAAAAAACGTTTCAATTGGGTGGAAACTAAAATAATTGTTAAATAAGTAACTTGAGTGACACAATATATAATTGATGTGGTTGAGTAGAATTCAACTAAGATTGAACGAGAGTCAACTTAACAGCTGTGATAATAAGGGGTAAAAATTTAATACGAGGTGAGAAGATGAAACAGTACAATTAAAAAAACAACATAAAATTACGTATCTGGTGTTAAGACAGATCAGATGGATTGTAGATTTAATGACTGAACAAACTTCTTTTGTATGCAGAGTTCAGGATTTAACGTGTGAATTGCCACTGCTTCTGAGGTTTGAATAAGCTCGATTCGTACTCCTTCAGCAGGATTCCCGCGTGTTCTACAGATAACTTTGAAGTCAGTTTGTGAAATAGCTTGGTGTCCCGATTCTATCAGGTGATCCAGGATAGAGCTGTTGCGGGAGGATCTTTCTCCTCCCTTATAAAACCATGAGTGTAATTGTTAGATGATGCATTCGGATAGCAAACGCCAACACACCTAGCTTATCCATCCTGTCCATGTGAATCGTTGGTTTCGTAGAGTAAGTTAGTCGAAGTTCAGCCTCAAAGAGAGTTTTTTTCAATGAGCGGGACAGACAGTTGCTCAGTATTCCTGCCGATGAGTTTCTATTTAATTGTAGATTCAAGTAGACAGGTGTTTTGGAAACAGAGTGTGGATGGTTTTAGTGGTTTAGGCTTGATGGATTTTGTGATGAAACATTCTAGGTAGCCACTTTCAAGCATAACTGTTTTCAGTGTTCAGCTTCTGTTCCTCAGTGTAAGGGCTGCGAATTCTTTGGATTCGATGGCTCAGTGAATGGATCAGTTTTAGTTTTATATATAGAGACACCCAACTATGAAATTCAGTGAGTTTTTCGTTCCATTTCGGCTTTCTGTAGACGGATCTTTTTAGTGTTTGTTCTGAAACTAATTTGTATCGTCAGTACGTTCTGTTTTTTTTTTCAACAACACATCTCTTTAGAAAGATTGAAAACTTTTCCTATTTAGAGTGATATACCTATCAGTTATTCAAGTCACAATGACATTTTGGACATAGCTGTACTTCATCAGAAACTTTAGTTTGAATTACCTTTAACCTTAATGTATTGGATCATGATGTAGGCGATAGGGAGCGAAATGATAGGCAAACGAAAGACTGAAAAAACGACTCAAGGAGATCTACAGTACACAGATGATATATATCTTGTGTTGAACAAACTACAAGATATGCAAAAGAAAACGAAAAGGTTGTCAAAAGAGGCTACAAAGACTGAGGTGGGGAAGACACTCAGCAACCAACAACAATAACTATCACCAGTCGTAAGCAACGAAGAAATTTAAATGAAATCGTCTCTTTCACTTATCTGAGCCGGCCAGTATCACTTCAGCTACAGTTGGTGACACAGATGGTGTTGATGAAAGCGGGTATTCATTACTCCGAAATCAATTTGGAGGTCCATGAAACTAAAGACAAGTAACAAGATCCAGTTTTTCAACACTAGCGTGAAGTTCAGATAATTGAACCGAATGCTGTAAACGACATTTCCAACAGAATACTGCAGACTTCCATCAGAGGATGCCTTTGCTGCTTGAATATTTTTTTCCATCACGTTCCCCAGTGGAACATAGGGCTTCAAGCTAGTGGCTTGAAGTTTCTGTAGCAGTGTTTATTTTACACGATGTGGTTGCTAGCCTCATACCCAACCTTTCCTCATCACCAGCATTATTTGTGGCTCAGCGAGGTAAAGGAGTGTGTCGGCCGGGGATCGAACCCCGGACCATGTGCATGGTCGGCGAGCGTCCTAATGCTGCTTGAATACTTAAGATTAAATAAACGGCTGGAGAATAAGACCGACAGGCAGCGAATCCATCAAGAGCCCATTACTCAGAAATATGAAGAAGGAAATGGAGATGGAATGAAAATGCACTGCGGATACATTCATGTCACAACATACTATTCCGCTGAGTGGATCCTGAATGGGTGACATGGAGGAAATCATTTTTGGAGAATATAAACGTCTGTGGACAGATGTGGAAATCAGCTGGAGCCTCACGTACTACTTTGAACTCAAGTAATGAACAGTTAACATAATAAATAGCTGTTAGGTACATTACTGATTCGTCTTTTGTTCAACTTTCCTTGCAGTCTGTTCCTAATCAAGTGGTATTCTTCTTGTCAAAACTAAAACTTACTTGACAACCATGTCAGAAAATGTTTCACTCACCGATAACACTGGGGATTGTCTGATTTTCTTTCCACTTCGATATTTGAACATTAACTTTTCGTCATTAGACCCAATAGCCTATTATTATTATTTCCTTGGGTTCCAAGTGGAACATATGGCTTCAACAACACATCTCTACTTTTTTCATTTTCTGCTATCCTCTTCATCTGGGTCCATAATCTTCCATGTCCTTCTTACAAAAGCTCCTACATGTTATCCTTGGAATACCCACTCAACACTTCCTATTTGAGTCTCACTCGAGTCATGGCCTGCATTGCGCGCGATGTCATTTGACGGCCTCCTCAACGTATGCACAATCCATTTCCATTTTCTCCTACATATAGTGTTAGACCGAACAGTCTAATTAGCAATTATTTTATTTATTCGAGTGAAACCCTAATAGGGAGAGACGAGTTAGACATCCTTGAATGACACAGCGGAGATCGTGTGAAGGCAAAATAAAAGCATATAGCAAACCACCTTAAAAAAAATACTGAAGATATCAAAGTGAAATGGAGGTATTCAAGTGTTGGCTTGCAGGAATTTGTGACCATAGGGTAGTGGATTCAAACCCCGGTGGTTGCATACTGTGAGGAGTCCCAAACTAGGACGAAACGGCTGTCCAGTACTCTCAGGTATTTTAGAGATCCTCTAACCGATGTCAGCTCATGATGAAATCCTGAAATGGAGATGTTCTGCTGAATCCTTATGTTCCACTAGGAACTCAAGGAAATAATGAAAATTTTTCGGCCTTGAATTCTACTGGATAGTAGATTAAATATTCCGTGGAACTCGAACTAAATGGAGACTAATGGACAAATAGCGACACAGAACCAGCTTACTGACTACTGATAACAAATCAAAAATCCTAATGAATAACTCGACATTAGCTTAGTATCACAGGTGAAATATCCACTTAACTAATATTAATTTTTTTAATTTTTAATTTTGTTTACGGCTTGATGCCACACTGTATTTTCCGTACAAGTATGGAATTTTCAGCACGGATATCGGTAGCCCGAATTTTGCAGGCCGATCATAGATATCAGGTGTGCGTCGGCAGGGGATCGAACCTCGGACCATATGCATGGTCGGCGAGAGTCCTAACCACTGTGCCACCGACGCACAGGAGTCTAAAATGGCAATAGGTGACAAATCAATCAGCAATCAAGACTTAGCTTATGTATATGAAGTTATTGGTAGTATAGTTATTTATAATACTGATAAAACATTTATTCTAGTTAAGTCTGTTGCAGATATTATGAATGCTTAATTGTCTCTGTAAGTCTCAACAAATACTTGTCAATAACACTGGCTGACGGCTACGTTATATGTGTATCACGAAGTGGCAGAAGACAGAATTGATAAATCGCTGGATTTTGTCGCAATGATTCAACGGTCAACTAACTTAAAGACCTTGGATTCGAGCCCCGGTAGGCTTATGGCTGCCTACTGTTAAAGAGTCCCGAACTACAACGAAACAGCTGTCTAATAGTAGCCCCTGGTTTTCAATGGTTTTCTAAGTGATCAAACTTCAAAATAAAACGTATACAACTTATGAATCACCTATTCGATTACTTCTTCCTGTTTCTTTGTTATCTGAAAAGAAAATCCCCTGTGAAAAGTCATAAAGACGTCATTACACTATTCTGAATAAACTGGTAAAATTGGTAAAATAAAAAAATTACAAAAAATAGCGGGAAAAAAGTATTCTCACCACAGAAAAGTATATTAATCCAAAAAATGTTGCCATAGCTGAACAGGCTAATTTAGCTAGTGTCAATAGAAATTCTGACCATCGTATCAACTCGATTATGTTATTCAATAATTGAATTTTAACCAATCCAGAGTTTAATTGTTTCCAAGATTTACTGAATGATTGACTCTCGATTACTGTAGAGGAAAAAAGTGAGAAAGAGAAACAATTGAAATTACAGTAGCAAGGTCAAGACAAGTCAGCTCTTTATTTATTCTCCTGTGACAACACAGCACAGAAGTGTTTGATGAGGGGATAGCTTTGCTATTACACTGATATGTCTAAATACGGAATTCTTATACACTGAGTTTTCTGTGCATGTGTTCTCCGTATTGTGCTTTGTTTGTCTTCTTTTCGTGTTTTCTTTGTTCTTTTACAATAGATCTTTCATTTATCCTCTTCGCCATTTCATCCGTCGCTTCACTATTCACTGTTCTTGAAGAGGACATCATACTCGATATATTACTCACAAAGTTGTGTCAGTAGCATCCACCCCACTACCTCTTTTCAATAGTTTATATGCCCTTGTCCCAAAAGACATTCATGGTAGAACTGTTAGTCTTTGTCGTTGAATCATGTCACGATATATTTATATATGTCTTGAATGATGAAATTAGTGAATTCATGGATTTAAATTTAAGATAATAGCATGAAGGTATCTGGGAATATATTTTATTGAGGGTGTAAACATTCAAATAATTCAGTTTGTTTCCTGGCGGAATAAATAACTTTCACCAATAAATGGTATCTTTTTCACTAAAGTGTTCTTAAACCAGCTAAGATATTAAGAACTAGCCAAATGGTGGACTGCTGGAGTGGCAATCTAGCGGAGGCTTATTTAAATCCTGGCATGACTCAGATTTTTGCTTCAACTCCAATTGTCAAGCGCTGAATCATCACTAGTGGTCTGATGATCGAAGGTTTTTGTAGGTAATTTTACAGTCCACTGAGTACTTCTTGGTTAGAGCGTAGACAAACAGACCATTCTACTCTACAGAAGAGTAACTTTAGAGAAGTCAACTTTACCTTTGAAAAGATTGAAATAATGAGTATTCTGTGTAGTGAGTTGAAGGAAACTTAAGTTTCTTGTTGAGTAGATGATTCGTAGACTGTCAATTTGAATTTTTCAAATATTATGGATGTAATATATATATATATCATGGTTTATTCAATATAAGATTACTACAAATAGTAGCAACAACTTTTAAATCCGCGCTGCATTTTGGAGTTTATTGATCTGGTCGTTTACATAGCCACTGTACTGATAAATATGCCATCAAGTTACATGAGACTGCCAACATAGTAGAACAATTAAACGCAACGTGAAATGTAAATTGCTAATTACTCGTTTCAGCCGCAAAAATACTAACATTCGGATGATAAAGAGAAGGCTGGCATGGCTTCTGATCAAGGATGAAACACAATATCCCGAAGCTTTTCACATGTTTTAAAGCTCACCTACTTTGCTAACCGGTTTGATGTCAAAAACAGGGAGGCTAGCGACCTTATCCTGGGAAACCAATCCAGTGTCTGCAAAACTGAAAAGCACACAAAGAGTATAAAAACTAAACTGATTCTTAGCTGGAACCGGAAAGATGAATTTGCTCAGGCCGGTCAAAATCCCAAAGAAGTCTCTCTGTCTGTCTGTATCTTCTTCCTACGGAGGTGAAAGCGGGTATGAGGACATAATGTCCTTATGATGTTCAAAGCCTGGGTTACCGCTCAAATTGCTAGATGAAATGAGAAAATATACCACAGAAGATCTAGAAATCAACGAAAGCAAATAAAATAGGAGTGGACTCTCCAAACTATCAACTGAAGGGTAAGCAATCTACTCCAGTCATCCGGACAACAGCCACCGGAACACTGGAGGATTGGCCGTCATGGCGACCATTCATTGGAATACAAGGCTGGCTTCTAAAAATTCTCTGGCATTCTCGGTGTTTCCTCTGTCGAATGTTTGAACGTTGTCCCAGTCGAATTGATGTCCATGGTTGTCTGTATGCAGTGATATGAGGGAGTGGATATCATGTCTTTCGACGCTTAGTTTATGTTCATGGATGCGAAGACAAACAGGGTGTTTACTTTGGCCACTGTAGTGTTTTTCGCAATCGTTGCAATTTATTTTGTAGATGATGTTGGTTTTATCTTCTTCATGCATTTATTCCCCTTGATGAATTTGAATAAAGCAAGAACGAAAGTGGGTTGTGCAGAATAATATGGTACCATCATTTATTTCGTAGGCTTCTCATCAGCTGCTTACAGCCTAAATACATAATGAGCTTTGCGTACAGAAAAGTTTTAACATACTTGCAAATTTTTACATGTTGCCAGTTGACAAAAAGTTCCACAGTAAGTGAACAGTGCTCAGAAAATTGCGCTTATATAGTTTTTACACATGCAGTTCAAGTTTAAACAAAATAGATGTATGCACACAATGGTAAAGGAGTTACGTAATAAAGACGAAATATGAGTTAGATACAGAGTGACTAATAAATTAGGTAACAATGTACTGAGTTCAACTCAAATCATAGAAACAAGAGACAAGCAAAATTACAGAATATAAAAGGGGGTGAGGTTAAAGACAAGGATTACGTAATCAGATGAGAGAATAAAGACATTCAGTTACCAGGGCAAAGAGAGATTAATAATTGCTTCTTTCGGAACACATAAATCTGGTTTCAAGCGTTTGATAGAGATTGCTTCGGCAAACTTGAGGAGAATGGAACTCCTTTGTCTATTGATAATTTTAAAGGATTTCTCGATTTCTACCTCATGACCCGTGTCGAGAAGATGTCTAGTGATAGCGCTGCTATAAGAGTTTGTTCCCTTGAGACGTAGGCTTCTTGGCACATGTTCAGAAAATCGGAGGTGTGCCCTTCTTTCTGTTCTCCCAATGTAACTGCTCCCGCAGATACACGTAAATTTGTATACACAGTTGGAGTTAACATGAGAAGGGTATCTATCGACTTTTCACTGCACCAAAGAGCATGTTGTTCGATGGACGGGAACCAACTTAGCTGCAGGATAGGCTCTGGCTAGTGATGTTCTCAGTCTTCTGTTGACCATTTCTGCAATGTTTTCACCTTTAAAATCTAGTTGAATGAAGACAGGCTTTTTTTCAACTGTGATTTGTTTGGTATTTGAGTCTTCACATCTTCCATATTTGTTTATGAATCTTTGAGGGTAACCGTTATTTTTCAGCACCTTTTCGAGGAACATAAATTCTTCCTCTAGTTTCTCTGTAGAGCATATTCTCCTTGCTCTGTAGTACAGAGTATTGACTAGTGATCGTTTATAGCTATTTGGACAAAAGCTATTAAAATGTAAGTATTGTCCATTCCATGTAGGTTTTCGGTAAATTGACCTCTGGAGATTACCATCTTCTAGGCGTTGCATGGCGATGTCAAGGAAATGGAACTTCCCGTCATTTTCATGTTCCATGGTAAATACAATATTTGTATGTGCTTTGTTGAATAGGCTGAGTAGGTAGGAGGCATGACTGTCGTTTTTGCATACTACAAATGTGTCATCGACATATCGACAATAGGAAGTTGTTTGATCGATTGCATGCTTCAACTTTGTTTTCTCAAGGTTTGACATGAAGATATCTGCTAGAACAGGGCTAAGTGGACTGCCCATGGCTACGCCATCTATTTGTCGGTAAAGAGTGTTATCAAACTGGAATTGTACATCCATGGTACACATTAGCAGTAGGCGTTTGAATTCTGACCCTGGTAGTGGAAGTAGATCAGAATGTTGACAAATGATTTCAATGGTTTCATTGATTGGGATCATTGTGAACAAGGAGGTTGCATCAAATGAGACCATGAACTTATTTAAAACGTTCATATGATTCACGCTTTCGGCGAAATGAAATGAGTCTTTTATGGTATGCACGGCTAGACGTCGGCGAATGGGTTCCAACTTCTCCGCAAGCCAACGGGCAACCTTATGTTGAAGCCTACGTCTCAAGGGAACAAACTCTTATAGCAGCGCTATCACTAGACATCTTCTCGACACGGGTCATGAGGTAGAAATCGAGAAATCCTTTAAAATTATCAATAGACAAAGGAGTTCCATTCTCCTCAAGTTTGCCGAAGCAATCTCTATCAAACGCTTGAAACCAGATTTATGTGTTCCGAAAGAAGCAATTATTAATCTCTCTTTGCCCTGGTAACTGAATGTCTTTATTCTCTCATCTGATTACGTAATCCTTGTCTTTAACCTCACCCCCTTTTATATTCTGTAATTTTGCTTGTCTCTTGTTTCTATGATTTGAGTTGAACTCAGTACATTGTTACCTAATTTATTAGTCACTCTGTATCTAACTCATATTTCGTCTTTATTACGTAACTCCTTTACCATTGTGTGCATACATCTATTTTGTTTAAACTTGAACTGCATGTGTAAAAACTATATAAGCGCAATTTTCTGAGCACTGTTCACTTACTGTGGAACTTTTTGTCAACTGGCAACATGTAAAAATTTGCAAGTATGTTAAAACTTTTCTGTACGCAAAGCTCATTATGTATTTAGGCTGTAAGCAGCTGATGAGAAGCCTACGAAATAAATGATGGTACCATATTATTCTGCACAACCCACTTTCGTTCTTGCTTTATTCAAATTTATCTTCTTCTGTTGCTGAGTCTCTTGGTTGACATAGAATTAAGTGACGTGATTTTGTTGGTTTTTGTGTTACGTCAATCCCCAAGGGTTTGAAGGGTCTCACAGTGATTTATGAGATGTCCTTTAAATATTGTAGGGCGGTTTTCTTTGTGCTTTCTTTGGGGGCCTTGGACTTGATAGGTTGGCTTGGCGGGGGTATGTGTCTTTTGATGAAATTCCGTGGATATTCATTTTGTGAAAGACATATCCCAGTCAAGGAAACAATCACTACCAATACAAATTGCCTAAAGGATGCAAAAACACACAACGACAACCAATCACGTTCAAGGTCGTCACCAGGAAAAATGACTAATAGAGTCGTTGAGAAATCTATACGCTCACTTCAACAAATTGAAGTATGCGCTGAAGATGTTGCCTAGTAGGGTTCAATGAAAGCTTCGTGAATAGACTATCCAGCTCAGAGAACACAATCACATCGAAACCACGGAGATTTCATTGAAACGGTGAATGGCTAGAGCTAGGAGTTGCACCTCAACTGATAGAGCCTAGTAATCTGACTGCAGACATTTTAAATCCTTCCTTAGTCCACGTTTTAATCACATCATCAATCATTCCTCATTGAGTAAACTTCAGTCCCTTAATCCGATACTATTTGAGACAGTCTTAGTGACAGCAGTGTCAAATAATTACCAGAAAATATATAACAAAGTAAAACGGTGCAATTTAAATGTTTCACAACTATTTGGGTGAAAATAAAAACTTACTTATTAACGTGAAGATATTACAATCTAAATGATGAATCTGCCATTCAAAGTTCCACAGCTTCTGCTCCCATCGTGATGTTGTTCTAACAACACTGGAAATATTATTCTGATAATTATTATTATTTTTTGCATAATGTATAATTTTATAAAAGCATAACATTTGAAGAATAGGCCATGTAAGTAAACTGAATAGTGAGGCTAAACTTAAACTTCCAATAAATTGATATGCCATTGTGTACATAACTTGACTGAAGAGACTTGCTATTTTTGGTCTGTAAGTAGATTCACTTGAACGATACCTTAAAGACAAGGCAAAATTAGAAAAATATAATTTGATCAGTAAAATCACTAGCAGCTTGAGCAATAAAACAAATAAAAATTCTGAACTACTTATAAGTAGTCTAAATTTATTGACAAAAGTTACAGACCTCTATGTGCTTCGATAATCCCATCGTTAGAAAGCTCTCCAACCACGCTAAATGTCTAAATTCGGTTACCAGTTCATGTACTCTTAAGCCGCCTAGTCGGTAGCAAACCCATTAAAAGAGGTAGGTTAGTCTGGGGCTAGCAGTACCACCTCACCAGAGAACAATACCACCACCGTTATTGAAACTTCAAAGATTGGAGCATTACTTTCCACTAGGAACAAAAGGAACTGGATGAACTTCCTCTTAACAATATGTCTTCCATGTAGCGCCCCGTCCTGCGGCCAACTCGTCGTTTCTTATTCGGGTTCTACTCAAGGGTCTAGTGTATAATGTCACTCAACGGTTTTCTCAGCATATGTTCAACCAACCTCTATTTCCTTCTGAATAAGTATTTGGCTATAGGTGGTTGGTTGGTCTGTTGCCAGGCAGATACGAGTTATTTCTAAGACAACTGAATTTAGAACAGAATTAAAGTTATAAATGAAATGTAATACTTTATAATGCGTTATTCTTTATTTTCCTCATGACTCAATGCGTGTTTAGTTCTTATACAAAGCTCAGCAAGATCTCCATGACTACAGCAAACACGAGAAATAGAATCTATTAAATCAAAGAATATCTTATTCACTGAAGGGAATAATTTCTATCTGATTTATTTAAGGAAGTTGCACAATTGTGTACGTGGTAAATTTCGGTTTCCCAACTAGTATTTACCCATGGCAGTAGGAGAATAATGATGAGTAATGTTTTTGATATTTTCCATGAGGTTAGTTGTAAACCTCTTCATATTTTCATTATTATAAAGGTTTTTGCATTTCCCAATGAATGAAAACAAAACGAAACTGTTGTTCTCACTGGCATTTTGCTACCTAACACTGCTAATAGATTTGTCAAAACTTTAGCTTATATATAACAACTTAATCATGGTTCCTCAGGATGGTAGAATTTTTGGGTCGTCGAGTTGGCCAGCTGGTAATGATAACATAACCACGTGTAGATTGTTGGATTTCACAAGTGTGTAAAATTATAAAAGCAGCGTGTGCCTACTTAATGAAATTGCTTATCACATTCGTAGTGATTTCGTCACTTCATGGGGAATGCGGGGGTTGTTGTAACCAGGTCAAATTCTGTTTTAGTTCATCATTCCTATTCGGATAATTTTGATTCCATTTGATGTGAAGTGCTTATGATGTCGTTAGACGTTCTTTATGATCTCTTAAATCTTTTTTCTGGATTATTTCAATGTTTTCAAAATCAATTTTGTGGTCTGATTCTATAGCGTGTACACCTATGGCTGGCTGATGATTTTTCAAGCTTTTCTAGTTAAGCCGGATTTCTCGGTGGTCGAACAGATGCGGCTCTACGGTGTTCATTTCTTCTGATTACCTTGATTTCTCTCTGGCGTTCTTTTTTGGATGCATATCGCATTAGATTCCAAGCATTTTATTTTACAGACACAATTAGATAGAGGATCTTTAGGGATTTGGTCTTTTATAGAGATAAGGTTGTTCCGCAGTGTTTCTGATGTTTTGAGGAAAACACTTATGTCTTGCTTATTGAGTGCTCTTCTGATATCGTCTGATAACCTGATCTATATGGAATGAAAACTGTCGAGGTCCATTTTTCGGAACCCCTTTTTGGACCATACCTAATGTCAGTGTTGATTTAGTTGATGAAGTTCTTTGGATAGTTATTTCGCTCGAGAGTCCCAGTAATGCTTGATATTTCTTCTTATTTTTCTTTCTCATCCGTTTACATCAAAGAGTGTGCTTATCTCAGAAGACGTGAAACAACTGAAACCTTTGGGCTGATGTTTTATATTTTAATTTTTTCACTTACAGCTATCAATAATCTTCAGTCTCTGTACGTCAGTAGTCATTTCCGGAAAGATATTTTATATCTATATGGTTATATAGCTTTGAAAATGAATTCATTGGGAGATTCCATGTTAGGAGTAAAATGCTGCAGAAACGAAGCCCTTTTAAAGTGTTATTTATTGCATGCAAAGCTCTGAGACTTTATGGACAAAATGATTGGAATGAAACATCCATATCCTCTTCAATTTCGTAGATATCAGGTGGAACAAAAACTAAAATGAATTCCAAATTATTTTATGCTAGTGGGATGATTTTGCTATCATATTAATACATCTTTTATTGGGGAATGAGTCTACAGACTGCACAGACTGTTTGGAAAGACGTATGCCAAAAGACTTGGCAATCTTGGTTTCTATTTCAAATGGAGTGCCAACGCGCTTACGGCTTAGGGACTCTTAATTAGGAAGGATTAGCTCGCTAATTTTTATGTAATCTGCATTCTTTGCTACACTAACATACCTATCTACTTACAGAGTTCTTATCAGATTGCATGAACATATAATGCACAAATTCTATGGAGATATGAAAATGTAACGTCTAGGAAATGTGATACACACAGAAAGGAAATATCATAGAGAACATTTTTACACATAATTCAGTGAACTGGTAATTAATCTCTAATTAAATGTCTATTCCTTTAAACAATGAGTTGACCTAATTCGCATCACGATGAGTCAAACACTTTGTTATAATATTTTTAAAAACACCATATTGTACATTGAACAACTCTTCAGATTTATACATTCCCTTATCACAAATGTTAGAAACAGCTGCAATATCTTCAACTTATTATCAATGCTGAAATAATCCTTCTACTACTGTCGTGTGTTATTTTTAAGAAACTAAATGAAGATTATAAAAGATAATAACAATAATAAATTTAAATAATGGTATACATTGAATATTGAATCACCAGATAGTATTTCAATGTGTTCAATGCATTCATTTAAACAAAGTGACTTTCTATTAGTCAACACAATAAATATTCACACAAAGTTATTATTTTTCATTAAATCATCCTAACAAGTTAACCACAGAATGTGTTAAATTAGTGAACCATAAGAAATAGTATTAGGAGCTTTTCCTACCACATAATTTTTAGTAAAAAAAAAAACATAGAAACGAACGGTACTTCAGCGATTTTTTGTCAACATAACTCAGTCCTCTACAAGATCAATCAACGACTGTCATCCTTCCTGATAATTTACCATAGAAATGGAATCCGAACTAAGTATTCCTTTTTCTTGATATGTGCCTCACTAGACGTAATGATGTATCTCCTAAAAGATTCATGCACCGAAAACGTACATGGAATGGAGCACTAAGTAATTTCTATAGTTGGATGCTTATCTCGAGGAAGAGAAATTTAATTTATTGGCTTTTCTACAGGATGAAAAATATTTGTAGTTCTGATTGTGTTAATGCACAACTTTCTTTCCTAAATGTCATGCGTGCAAGAAACGATTAACCAAATTCATTTTTCGATAAAAAATAAAGAAGATAAGTAATCCAAATTATTCACTAACTCCCCTCCAAAGGAAATCAACTTTATGAATTTGGGATTCAATAGGGATCACGTATCAGATATCCTAAAAAGCCGTCAGTAAGTCGTTTCTTGAGATTAGGCACCTACTGACCCTCATCAGCTGTAAATTGTTCTCCGTCTCTTTAGAAGATAACCTCACTCGTCTGGCAATCTCCATGTGCATCTGTCAGTTCTCCTGATCTTGTAGAGCTAGATAGATTGGCTTTGACCAGAAAATACTTTCCACACGTATAAGAGAGCATATTCCAACATAATTTTACAAAGGAGAAAGGAAATGTGTGCGAAGCCCTATTCTAGAACACCTGATTGACTTCTCTCAGTCAACCAACCTTGACCATGATTTTAAGATCATCTGTCGGGTTTATGAATAACTGCTTCACAGTGCTACACAGAGTTCCTCAATATGACTCTCTGAACACGGCGAATCAATGGCTTTTCGAGGCTTGGAAGCGGACATCTGTATTCAAAAGTAGTAAATGCATTCACTCGCCCTACTATGGCCAGAGTGACGTTCATATCATAATTTTGCTCCATTTTTTCCAGGTAAGTTAACTGTTATTATTATTTTACAGTAGTCGTATTATTGTTTATTATTAACCCTGTATTTTCATACTGATTTTATATAAACCCTTTATTGTCTTTCCACTAGATTTTTTCACTTTATACAATTATAATGACTGATTAAAAATGTCCATTAAAATTTTTCAAATGAGTGGTTACTTAACAAAAAATATTCTTTTCGGAAACTTTATCATCATCAAGTTCTACATTTATATGCATCCATAATAGTGAATGAATGCATTAGTGTTATTAACAACATTCATGTTTAAATGTTTACAAAAGAAATTAAGTAAGGACCCTCAGCCACAGGGTTAGAGCTTTATGCTTGGAAGAGGTAACTGAAGATGACCTAAGGACTGTATATGACATCCTAATCGAAAATAGCTATGCAGAAAAGTTCACCAAGAAACACATGGCAAAGAAAGCAGAAAAGGACTATTCTCCACCAGTAAATAAGAAGCCTTTATGTATACGACTGCAGTTCAAGGGTAACGCATATAGTGCAATAATTACCGACACCAAATTGTTTCTTAAATTAGCCATTCATGAGATATAAACACACCATAGTTGAATTAGAAGCAATAAAGTATCCTATACTTAATCAGACGAAAGAAGAAGACCAGTGAGCATTTCTCATCTTTTGGAGGTAATCCATGCTTAGTGAAGCTTATTATTAAATTAGGCTTTCGAACTTATGTGGAATTGTGTCCTACCTAAAATTTAGGCCTATATCACCTGTTTGGTTTCCACCACCTTTGACTGCAGGATGCAAAATCAAATTTCAGAAGAAATATGAATTCCTCAAACACTGTGGAAGCTTCTCGTCGATTAAAACCAACAAAGTATGAAATCTATAGGCTGTAGAAGTTTACCACACAAAAGTTTTA